GGGGGGGAAGGTTGTAGAAGTTAGCCTGAATCAGGAAGGAGGCTTCAGAGGTCCGAGGGCCTGTTGCTCCACATTCCAGCCCCGGAGCTCCCAGAACACAGTTGTCCACAGGATCTCACGGCCACCCTCCTGGCCAGTTCCCACCTCAGGTTCCTGATCTGAATCTCCAGGGCAGAGGCAGTCTTGGGGTAAAAGGTCATTGTATCCCTGGACCCTCGGTGGGTGGGGCCAGGCAGGAACTTGCTTCTATTTACCTCACATCAGATCGCAAGCAGACACGTCTCACTGCCCCTGTCCCTTGCCTGCCCAAACCTCAAACTCGTGGCCTTGGAGTGGACGCAGACTGCTGGTGCCCTGTGTATTACGGAGGAGAACCTCACAGGACTGCTGGCCTGGAATCTTCAAAGAAGCATCTGACAGCTAGGGCTTTCTTCCGCAGCACCACTGTGTGCAGGTGCCACCCAGGGATGCTCTCACCACTCACTCTGATACTCTGGAAGAGCCTGAGGGGTTTCCCTGCTCCTTGTCAGCTGGGTGGAGCAGAAGCCCATGCCCCACAGCCCCCTGCCCCTTCTTACCCACAGGGGGTCTCCTTGGAGGGGGCCCATCATGGCCAGAAACAGGGGCTGCTGCAGGAGGGCAAAGAGCGCGCTGACCAGCGACTGCAGGCCTGTGAGGCTACCAAATTGGGTGGAGGGGTACCTGCGGAGGGCAAGTGTGAGCCTGTCACTGCGGTGCCACTCAGCCTCTTCCCAGAGCCCTCCTTGGCCTGTCTAGCCCACCCACAGCCTGCACTTTTGATACCAGAGTTGGTAGGAGCAGGTGCAGCCCCCTCCCCCGACACACACACCCAAGAACAGAGGGGTGGCCAGACTACTTCCCGCTGAGCAGTGAAGCAAGGAGAGATTCCCTTTAGGACTAGCATGTGCACCAGTCTTAAGGGGGCCACACCTTGCCCAGGTGTGCCCTGGTGGCCAGGTGTGCCCTGGTTGGTGGGGGTCTGGCAGAGCAAGTGGAAAGTATGGTGCCAGCGAAAACCTGTGGCTCGGGCACGAGGCCCCAGGAGCTGGTTGGAGATGGGCACTGTACACAGCTGTGCCTGAATCCAGGAGCATTGCGTAATCACGGAAAACCCGACTCACAGCTCTCAGGCCGGCCCCCTGAGATGCTGCCAGGGCAGCGCAACTTCCTCCGGGCCTGGGGTGGGATGGGGGGGTGGGCAGGGAGGCCTGAAATGACCCCCTGGGACGATGCTGGGAGGAGGAGAAAGTTCCAGGCGAAATCTCAGCCAACAAAGGCTTTGCTGCCCAGAGGCGGAAGGGATCCCAGCAAAGAGTAAGCTGGGCTTAGAGTCAGAGGCCTGTTTGGGCGGGGGGTGGGGGTAGTGAGCCCCAGGTCTGAGGAGGCAAAACAGCTCTTGCTCCTTCCGGATGTGTGACTTCTTGGAGGGAGAAGCAGGTTTCGTTTCAGCCAGCGTCTGAGAAGGCTGCAGCTTCCAGCCGGAACTGGGCCACTGGGCCTGACCCATTCTGGCCTCAGCTGTTCGTGTTGCTGCCCTGGCTAAGGGCCACTGCCACTTACACATTCAGCCGTGGGCAGCGTTTCCCGTGAGCAGGCAGGGGCAGCACCAGCTTGGCTGAACAGCAGCCCCCAGGCAACAGTCAGGCACTGATGCTGGTGACACGGGGACTGACTTCGTGTTAAATGCACAGGCTCCTGGGCACCCACCTCTGGCCAGGTATGGCCTTCCCCTGGCACACCCAACAGAAGCCAAACAGCTACCTATCTCCTGATGCAAAAAGATGAAGCCTGCAGGGTAGCCTGGGCCTGTCCCTGTCCCAGGGACGCAGCCCACCGTGAAAGACAGACAAACTCAGTGCATAGCGCCCCTACTGGACAGGTTAGAGCGGCCCCTGTGGGTGTCCCAGAATGTCACTCTGGAGGGCAGTAGACTGCCTCATCTTCCTCCCTCTTGGTTAGCAGCCTGACCCACTACATACGTATGTCACCTCCCTCAAGCCCTGCCCTTTGCAGCCCTTGCCCACCAGAGCCCGCCCCAATGCAGGACTCACACAGCGGCATACAGGCCCCCGACGGCCGAGTGGATGAACCCACGCACGATCGTGTGCAGGATGAAGGAGAGGATCTGCAGGAGGGAGGCAGAACGTGAGGGAAGGGCCAGCCATGCCACCTTCACCCACCCCTGCCCCACTCTTGGGATCTTGAGCAACAGGAGTCGGCTGGGCCAGTGCCCCTGAGCCCTCAGCAGGGGTGAGGGTCGGCGGCTGTGCACGGGCATAGTGAAATACATTCTATTTAAAACAAAGGGAGCTGGGAGCAGTTGGAGTAGAACCGGGAGCTTTCTAGAAGTCGATGGTCAGGCTTTTGTGCTGAGGCCCCTCTGGGTCCACTCAAACAGCCAAGCTGCCCACTGGCTGCCGAGCACTGAAGCACTTGAGGCGCCTAGAGGCTCCGATGCGGATTCTTTTACATCTGATCCTTATCTCTACTCTTGAGACATTCTGCTCTCTGACAGCTGAAGGAGCCCCGGAGGCATAGTGGGTTATGCACTGAGCTGCTAACTGAAAGGTCAGCAGTTTGGAACCACCAGATGCTCCACAGGACGAAAAGGAGGCTTTCTATTCCCAAACAGATTACAGTCTGGGGAATCGACCAGGGCAGTTCCGTGCCACCCCATAGGGTGGCACAATCTGTCAGGATCAACTCGATGGCAGTGATTTTAAACAATTCTATCTGGATGGGAGCAATACTACACAATGGGGTATTACCGCCGGGTGAGTCTCTTCCCAATGTCCCTTTCACTGTCATCACATCGTTAACCTGAAATCAGCTGTGACACCAGCATTTACAGCAGGGGAATTGGCAACTACCACGCATCAGGGCCCCTGGCCTCTTAGCCAGGGCTGGCTGTCAGATGTCTATCAGCACAGGCCTGCATCGGAAGCACCCACGGTGACCTCATTCTCCCAGGCTGGCCATCCAGATGCTACTGACAGGGGGCTGTCCGCCCTGAGAAAGTTCCACATCTCTCTCTGGGAGGGGTGCTGCCGGTAGGCTTTATGGAGCATGCGTTAATGATTCCTGAGCGGTGCTGGCGCTGGTCGCCTGGCCACCGGTCCTTCGCTATCTTTTCTACTCCGCTTGCCACCTTGCTCGGCAGCCAGGCCCTGTTCCTAGGAGTGTGGGTGGTGGAGGGGCCGGGGCTGTGCCTGCAATGTGCAGGCACGTGCACGTTTGCGCAGGCGTGCAGGTCCCCTTGCAGATGCTGCCTTTCCTGCCCGCAGCTCTGCTTCCAGAGAGAACGACGTCAACAGAGGCGGATGGCTGTTCTCACTGAGCTGAACACGGATCCTCGATGGGGCCTGGTGGTCAGGGCCTGGCTTTGCCAGTCAGCCTGACAGAGAAGGGAGTTGCCAGGAGGCAGCAGCATGGCCAACCAGAAGTGGCGCAAGTCTCCAAGGGCTCTCACGTGTTTGCACGGTGTCAGCACATACACCCCACCCCTCCCGTGAGTGGGACACACCTGCTTGGGTGTCAATGTCCCTCAACATGTGGCCACTTGTATAAAGAGAGGTCCGTACTTTGGTTTCTTCTTGGGCCTGGCAGGAGATACCATCTGGACCTTGGGCTACAGCCACCTGGAAGTAATGCCATCTCCCTTGTCCTTTCAAAGCTCATAAACTTAGGGATTAGGGCCACGCCTACTGCTAAGCCACTTCCAGGTGCCCGAGGGTGGAGGCAGGCCGGTGGCAAAGTCTACCTGGTGTTCTCAATCTCCGCTGACAATCAAGGCTCCGAAGACTCGGTGCAAAGGAAGTGTGCTTTTCCACCTGCACGGCGAGGCGCTCCCCACCCTTAGCCACTCTGCACGGGGTGGAGACCCAGTGGGCGGCTCTTGTACCAGGGGAGCACAAGCGCACATCCCCACCGGTGCCACAGACTGGGTGGACCTCTGGGGACATCAGGGCAAAACAAAGCACTACGGAACTGCCCCCCATGCTCTGGCAGCGATCACACCACGGTGAGCAAGATGCCCGAAAGTCCAAGGAGGGTCGCCTGCCTTTATCCAGGAGCGTCTTTTACAGAAGACCATCCCACTTCATCACGCACGGCTCAGCCCTGCGGGCACAGGGCCTGGCAGCGACAGGCTGGTGATGGACTGAAGAAATGACTAAGGGAGCTCTCTGTGGACGGCTCCCCATGGTACACCCCAGAGCAGCATCTCTCCGTGTCGCCCTCCGCACCCCACCTGCTCTCTCCCTCTCTCCTCACCCACCTGTAGCGGCAGGTTGGGAATGAGGCAGGTCACCCCGAAGCCCACAAGCAGCAGATTGGTGAAGGCAAAGGCCCTCATGGCGTTGGTGACCTTCTGGATCCGCCGGTCCCGTTTCTTCCTCTTCTTCTTCTCGCCTCTGTGGAGACGCGGGGCAGAGACATAGGTGCTGGGGGCTCCCTGGTGGGAATCACACTCCGGGACCAGAGCAAGACTGGGAAAGTGCGAGCGGGGCCACTCCCACTCCCCGCACGATTGAGCACTGCACCAGAGCCTGGAGTGTGTGTGTTGGGGGGGTGGGGTCGGCATCTCAGATACGGGAGGGAAGATGGCTGCCAACAGTCAGGGCAGACTGAGCTTGAAGCACCAGAAGGGGAGGGGAGCGGGCGCCCACGTTCTGAGGAGGCAGAACCTCCACTTTGCCATTGGCTTCCACTTCACGCCAGCCTCACCGGGAGCCATTAACAGGCTGTGTGAGGAACTGAGCAGATCTCCCCTTGGGGGGCCGGAAGTGGGAGAAGGGGGAAGAATCTGCAGCAGATGGAGCCGGAATGGGCACTGAGAACCTCTTGGCTGTGGGACATGACCTAGATAAAAGGGCCATCTCTGTAATTATTTCCTTGCGAATTCACCAGCGCGATTGCGGCCTCCCCACCCACACGATGTCCTGTTAACAATCAGATGACGCAGGGGTGGGGGGTGGGGGGCTTTTGCTTCTCCGAACAAGTGAGTGTCAAGTGTTCGCAGGGGGTGTGGGGGCGGGGGAAGGCCCACCGCGTCCTCTGTGACCTCCCTCATCTGTGGAATGGGTACAGCACTCGTACCCAGCGCACAGGGCATGTAGACACACGGTGCGTCGAGGGCTTGGCTGGGGGGCTGATGAGATAAACGGCAGCTTATTATGCTAAGGTGGAGCCACCGAAAAACACCACCACATGGATCTCACCCTCTGATTGGAGAGCCGGCCCTTAAGCACAGTGAGGCACCAGCACCTTGTTTCACCCCCACGCTCAGGAGCGGCTAGATGAGCACACGGGACCCACGGACAGCAGCTCACGCTTCCTGGGGCAGAGGAAGCCCGGGGAGCCAGCAGGTGGCTTTAAACCATCATCTAGCCGTGGTGCCACTCACGCCACGGGTTGTCCTACAGGCAGAACTGTTGCGTGCCTTGAGCTGCACAGACTTGCTTCTCGTGCCCTAGTCCACCCTCCCCTGACTCTTTTCTAGCACGGTGTGTGCTGAAGCTTTGGCGTGCAAAAGAATTCCCGGAAGAAAATTCCCAAATCTCACAGAATTGGCTGAGAGTCACCAGGAGCCTTCTTACACCAGGAGCCTTCTTACCTCCCCCTTGGGCTTTAAACCTGTCCTGCCCACTGGGTCCCTGCTTCACCGGTGACTGCCTGGTGTTATCCCACAAGGGGGCTGGGAGCCAGAGGCGGGGCCGTGTACGTACTGGCCTGCGTCCTTCTCCTCGGGCTCGTCCGAGACATCCTCACACTCCTTCAGCCTCCAGTCCATGATGTAGCCAATGACCGGGGCCGTCAGCAGGCAGAGCAACTGGAGCGCCCCGAAGATGGAGGTATACAGGCCCACTGGGGAAGGAGACAGGCAGTGTCAGCAGAGGCCCCCCCGGCAGAGGGCCCACCTGCGGGCCTGGCCCAGACACCTTGACCTCTGCAATCAGGGTCAGTGGAGCAAGGGGCAAGTCCCTTTACTCGCTGCTTGCCAACCCCCCCCCCCACACACACACACACTTGCTGGTTTCCAAGAAGCAGCAACTGAAATCCAGTGTGTTACAGTCTCCTTCCCAGAAGCCCCGGAAAGTCCGTGACTCGGGCATCAGTGTGTGATTCAGCTGTGTGGGTAACGGCCTGAAAGGCACCACTCCTGGGGGGTGGGGAGAACGCCGGCCAACGTGAGAACTTCTGTTTTCCATGGGTCTTAAAGGGACGGGCTTTTCCAGCCAACAGAAACGGAAAGCTGATGGGCCCACGCCCACGCCACCATGCTGGGCAAGAGGGTTGGATGCCGGGAGCTTTTGGTAGCCCCCAGGCTGGCAGGGAGGGGAGGGTTTTTGCCATGCTCATTACCCATGCCCCCTGCTTACCCGCGGCCATCACTGCATCAGGGGAGCAATGGTGAAAAGGCAGAGAGAGAGGAAAGAGGTGAGTGGGGGGATTAGAGGCAGGCTGCCACCCCCTGGGGGGGTTGCAGCGTGAGCCAGCTTTCTGCGGGCGAGGGCCGAGCTCAGCACCTGCTGCCTGTCAGTACCACGAGTGCCTAGGTTTGTACAGTGGGCACCTCTTCCCAGGTGGCTGGAAGTGGGTGAGGGGTGTGCTAAGCCTGTGACACCCGCCAGGGCTGTGATGAGGAAACCCTGCACAGGAGAAAGGTCCGGGAGACTCAGAGGCCCTCCCTCCATGTCGCCCAGTCCCAGGGGACACTGCTCTGCCAGGGCCACCTTCTCCAGCACTCATCAGGGCCCACCCAGCCTGGCGGCGGAGTCCATGGGCTCCCCCTAACAGCCAGAGCTGGTCCCCTGTTGCACACACCCCACTCCCCACCTCGCCCGCTCCCGGCTGTGGGGTTGGCACAATCGGTTGCTCACAGGCGCAGGATGGGGAGAACCAATGCCCCCCCACCACAGGCCGAGCTTCCTGACCCAACTTCCTCTGCTTCTCGAAACGGACTATTTGAATGTGGGAAACTGTTGGGAAAATTTCTCTCAGTCATCAGGATTTCTGAACAGCCAAGTAAAGACCAGGACTGGAGCTCCAGAGAGCTGTGTCTTCCCAGGGTTAACCAGGGCCTCCTTCAGGGCCTCGCCCTCTCAGGCGCTGAGGGTTTAAAAAAAGAGGGTCGTGGGGACACGATAGGGCCCCTGGGCGCGGGTGGTGTGCAAACATCTTAATGCGCTCGCCTGCGCTCCCAAAGCTAGGCAAGCTGTCTAAGTCCGCCTAGGTGGAAAGCCCTGGGGACCAGCTCAGTGCGGGAGACCAGCTGCTGGGAACCCTGTGGCCACAACACTACTCTGATGCGGGGCAGTCGCCCGAGCCGGGGCTGACGCCACGTGAGTTCGCCAATTGTCGCGACAAAGGTGCCATCCCAAAGGGTGCCCGGACAGAGTGTGGGGGCACAGTGCACTAAACCAGGCGAAGTAGGTAATTTTCCTGTAGGGGCTGTCGTGACGGGACTTCACCGGGCGTCTCTGGAGTGTCTCCCTAGTGAGAGACCTCCTTTATCTGCCCTCCGGCTGCCGGTTCCTTTTGTGAGAGCTGGGGCTCAGGCCTGATTTATCCACTGAGAATCCGATTCCCTTACAACGGCCAGGGGATTTCTCCCCTAAGAGAAACACGACAGGTTAACCAGCCAGCTTGGCTCCCCATGTAAAGGGTTTACCAACGCCTGCCTGCCAGTTGTGGTTGGCAGGGGCTGCTGAGTCAGTGTGGACTCAGAGGACCCACTGTACAACCAAGGAAACGCTGCCTGGTCCTGTGCCATCCTGACTGGAGTCCTTCGTCCAGCCCCGGGCCCCGCCATCTCCTGAGGGTCTTCTTCACTCTTTTGCAAGGACCTGCTGTACCAAGCCTGCGGTCCTTCCCCAGGAACTCACTCCCTGCCATCGAGTCCCTGCTGTGGGCGGCTGAAAACCGCCAACCAGGCGGATCGAAGCTCCCTGTGTGACCACTACGCCGCCAGGGCTCCAGGAACTAGCCTCTCCTGATCATTTGTCCAAAGTCCGGGAGACATATTCTCTCCGGCCTCACTTCCAAGGAGCATTCTGGCAGGACTTCTTCCAAGCAGATTTGCTCGGTCTTCATCGCGTATTCGAGGGCCTTCATCCCCGCCTCCATCCAAATGCACCGGTTCTCTCGAGACTTCCCCCCTTCACTGGGGGACAGGATCAGAAACACCACGGCCAGGGTCAGGTGCACCTGTGTCTTGGACGTGAGATCCTTGCCTCTTGGCACTTTCAGTAGGTCTTGTGCAACAGATCTGTCCGAGACAGAACGCCCTGTGATTTCTCGACGGCTGCCCCCCTGCGTGCCAACTGTGGATTCGGGTCAAGGAAATGCTGGACTACTTCATTATTTTGTACTTGTCCCTCTCGGAGTGACGAACGCTGATTCAGCTCGGCCCCTGAGGAAGTACCGGCTGTCTGTCTTTGCCGGACGAAAACCTCTCATCAGCTGAAGCACTTCACTGCTGTGTTTGGATAAGTGGCCTGCGGGTTATCAGTTCTGCTTACCAGAACGAACAAGTCTCAACGGATTCCCCCACACAGAGAAGCCTCGCCTCATTTCCGAATTTAGACCCAGATCCTCTTGGCTGCATCAGAGCGACCAGCCCCTCAGCCCCAGGACACCCCTCCTTCCACACCAGGCTGGTTTCTGGGGGTGGGGGATCTCAGTGTTTGGGTTAATTTATTGCTTTCCCACCCGCACCAAGGTGGAGTGGCTGGGGCACGCTGTGTTCTCATACCCATGCCGGTCGGCCCTCCCCACCCTCAAGTACTGGAAAACAGGCACCCCCACTCCAGACACGTGTGGTTATTTTTGTTCTCCCTGACCGGGGACATGAAAGAACAGCTCGGGCTGGCTCGGGTGAGAGGACTCGGCTGGGCACACAGGCCCTGGGATGCTGCCACTGGGGGCGGAGGTGCAGCCCTGTGTAATCATCCCAGCTGCTGGGCAGCAGGCTCGGGATCAGGAAGATGGGAGTGACGGGTGAGGCTGGGAGGCGCCCTCCCCAGAGGTCCCCTACCTTGGTCCTGGTCGCCGCTGACCAGGAACTTGAGGATGTTGTTCATGGCACCCATGTAGAAGATGAGCCGCAGCTGGGTGACGCACATGGTGAGGAGGCTGAGCAGCAGGATGGGGCTGAACACGCTGTGCAGGAACGAGGGGGCTGCTGCGGGGGAAGGAGGCGCCACAGCCACTCAGGGACCAGGTCAGCCCATCCCGGCTGGGCGCACGCAGAGCAGGGGGCGGGGGGTCACGTAAGGACCAGCCGGGGGATGCCGATGGCCGTGCGGGCCCTGAGAGCTGAGGCTCATGGCGTATGAAATGGTTAGTGGCCATCAGGTGGCCTCCACCGAAGGAGCCTCCGTGGGTGCAGAGGGCAGGGCAGCTCCATCGGGTTTCCAAGGCTGTGGCGGCACTGGCAGGCCTGTGTTCCGGGCTGCCTGGTGGTGGGTATGAACCACCAACCTTTGGGTTGGAGTGGAGTTCTTGTTCGTACCCCTCACGGGGGCGCATTAGATAAGCGGGTAAGTCCCTTCCTCTCAAGGAGCCTCAGTGTGCACATCTGCAGAATGGGGTGGGTGGTGCCACCTCTCTGTTGGGGGCAAGATGCGAGACCACACCGAACCAAACCAGAAACCAAACTCACTGCCATCAGATCCATGCCGACTCACAGCGGGCCCCACAGGACTGGGAACCCTTTCCTGGAGTCCAAAGCCCCTCTTTTTCTCCCTCAGAGGGTCTGTTCCTAGCCCAACGCATACACGACTACGCCCCCAGGGCTTTACAAGCCCCCTCGATGTTCCTATGTCTGGGTGGCTGCCCGGGGGTGGGCGTGGGAGGCAGGCCTGGGTGACGTGGTGCAGTGCGGCGGGTACCTGCAGCATCCGGCTGGCATTTCACCTCCAGGTCGACAGTGGACAGGCACAGCTTGTGGCCCTCCTGCAGCGCCGCCTGCTCCTTGGCGCCCCTCATGGAACTGCCCACGCTCAGGCGGCGCCCCACCGTGGTCACCTGCTTGTAGAACTGCTTCCCCGTGATCTTGTGGTCAAAGCCCAGCCAACTGAACTTGATCTTCACCCTGGAGGTGTGGGAAGGGGCCTGTCAGCCCCAAGGGCGCGGTGTCTGGGGCGGGGTTGCATGGGGTCAAAGAGGAGTAAGCCTACTTACGAATAGTCCATGTCCTCCGGCCCCGGGAAGGGCTCCAGTGGCCAGTTGAAGAAGCAGTTGAAGAACACCAAGCCGGAGCAGCCGGCCCAGACCACCAGGATGACGATGAAGGACACGCCAAAGTCATAGATGACCTGGCAGGCACGTGAGGGAGGGTGGGGTCAGAGGGGCTGAGCTGGCGGTGGGGAAGCCAAAGCGCACACGTGTCCAAGGGGCAGGGGTGGCTTCTGCAGCTCCTGCAGAAGTTTGCTTCCTCCTCACTCCGGGGTCAAGGGATGCACCGCATACCCACCCTCCCCACAACCCCTAGTCCTCTCTCTGTGGCCAGGGCACGGTATCAGTCCCTGGGCTTCCAGCTGGGGTCAAGCGCCCCTTCCTTGGGCGGCTTCCCCGACCACCCCCACTGCTGTCCCAGCCCCACTGGCCCATGAGTGGCTCTGCTTGCTGACCCCGTGAGAACAGAAGTCTGCAGGGCCAGGGAGAATGTCCAGGGTTGCTATACAGCAGCTCCTCCGGGAGGGAACAATCAGCTGTGACCCCCTTTGCTCTGCTGTGAAAACGGACATGACCCTGTTATGCAGCCTCACGGTGGTGCATGGAGGGGTGGGGGGTGAACGGTGTCATGGGATGGGGTAGGGGGGGGATGTATGAGCTGTTCTGGGCACAACTGCTATTTCTTTCCAGCACCCCAACAAGGGTCCCCAAGGGACATGCAGAGCTGCCCAGCAGGTAGAGACTGGGCCCACACGTGGCGGGGACGATTTGAGGATGTAACTCCCTCTCTTCCCAGGCAGCCACTCTCTCCTCCATGGGGCCTCCCCAGTCCCTCTGGAAAGGTCTGCACAACGGGGCGGGGTGGGGGTGACCGAGGGGGAGAGGTCCCTCTGCAGCCCTGGTGGGAGCAACAGGAACTGGAGGGGGAGCTAGGGCTGAAGGCCTCGGAGGGGTTTGTTTCTCCCGGACCTGGACCTGGGTGATTCCAGGGCTCAGGATCCTGCCTGGGAGGGAAGCAGCTGAACCAACTTGGCAGAGAGCTGCACTGTAGCAAATGGGGAGCTGGAGTCGCCCAACCACAGGGCTGGGGGGTGGTGGTGTTGGTGGGGGTGCTGGGGACCGACTCAGGACCCGGATGAACTCACCCACCCCCTCTCTCTACCCCAACCCAGAAAGGCACCCGGCTTCACATCCTGCCACAAGCAATGCGCTGCTGGATTTGCTGACAGCCAGCAGTTTTCTCTCCTTTGGGCTGTGGTTCCCAGGTGCATCCTGCCCAGGTGGGAGCGGGGGCGGAGCAGGGCCCGCCCGACCGCCCACAAGGACTTCTCCCTTCAGACAGGGTTGAAGGAGGCTCTGTGCGAGGGACACACTCACTCACACCGGACCAAACCAAAGAGCAGGAAGCCTGTTGGCCGCACCCTCACCTTGACTCCTGGGAAGGTGACGGCTGAGGAGGCATAGGACCCAATCATCAAGGCAATAAATGTGGACCGCAGGTCACCAAACATGTTGGGCAGCTGAAAGACATGGAAAAAGGGAACCCTAAGCATGCGAGGATGGAGGGAACAAAGACGAAGGAGGAGGGGAAGAGAGATTTGGGACACTGGCAGGCTTCATTGCCCACCTGCTCTCCTCCCTGTGGGCAGGGAGATTAAGATTAGTCCAAGGGGTAATTACTGCTCACTGAGCGAGTTTCTCCTTCCTGGAGTGAGATGGGGGCGGGAGTCAGGCAGACCTCAGCTTCCAGATGTAAAGACGGCTTGTTTGGTTTCCTGGCTGGCAAGTGTAGCCTCCCTTCTCCTCCCCCTCCCTGGCACAGGCCAGGGCCCTCCCACCTTTCCAGGGTTACCCTGAGAGGCCAGAGAGCCACTGCCGTGTGCCTCAGACATCTCTCAGAGGGAACAGGCTGGTTGAGAATCTATTTGGGGAGATGAGCGTCATTTCATAAATAAAAATGCTGGCGTCCCAGAAAGACCAGATGTCACCAAAAGCTGCAGTGGGGTTTTGAGAGCGGACGTAGGTTTCTGGAAGGCGCCCAGCAGTTGCCTTAGGACTGTCAGGGAGGAGATAGTAGGATTCCCCCTTCTGCATCTCTAAGTGCATATAGGGAATAGTCTCTCCGTTATTTTGTCTGAAAGGTCAGCACCTGGGAAAGCCCAATGGGGCCACTCTCAGCATCTCCCCTGAGCCCACGCTGGGTGGAAAGCAAGAGAAGGCTCATCTGATCATGACTTCATGGCTGAAGTAAACTCAGGCGCGGAAAAATATTGCAACACAGCAACGCCTTCCTAGAGTCCAACAGGCGTGGAGCAAAGTACATTCTCCCAAACAACCACCGGGCTGTGCCTCTTTTCCAACATGGAAAGAGACGGCACCGCCCTTAGGAAGGTTCTCATCCACACCCACCATGCTCCTGGCAGTGAGAATGGCTCTCTCGATGGCGATGCCCACCTGCTTCACTGAGGTCAGGTTGTTCATGTGGGCCTCCCCTTACGTTCCCTGCCCCGTTTGTCTTACAGGGAACATGTCTGGGCTGCCGGCAAGAGAATCCACTGTGGCTGAAAAAGGCAGTGGAGATTTCTAAAGGGGAGCGAGTCCTGATTGAGCGACACACCTGTCCCTCGTCATGTCTGGGGTTAAAAATCATCTAAGCAAAATGAAAAAGAATTTCTGTGCTTCAAAAAACAAACAAACCATCAGCAGGACAGTGAAATGAGAATGCACAGCATGGAAGAAATTTTGTTTTGTTTTTTGCAAATCGCACAACTGATTAGGAACTTGTACCTAGAATCTATAAAACACTCCCATACCTCAATAAAATAAACACAAATAACCAAATTCCCCAAATGGGTAAAGGACCTGACCGGACACAGTTCCCAAAGGAAGACAGTCAAATGGTCAGTAGGCACAAGAGAAGCTACTTGCCACCATTAGTTCATAGGGAAGTGCCAATCACAACCACCATACGCGATGGCATTCTGCCCATGAGGGTGGCTATACTCAGAAAGAGGGTAACGGATGTGGGCAAGGATGTGGAAAAACTAGAACCTTCAAATGCTGCTGGAGAGAATCTAAAATGGTGCAGCCACTTTGTAAAATAGACAGTTTTTAAATGGTTCAATGTTGAGTTACCAGGTGACCCAGCGATTCTATACCTAGCTAGGTGTGGGAGGTAGCTTCAAAAAGTGTGTGGAAAAATTCCATTCTCTTTTCATTCCATCTTTCCACAAATTTTTTGAAACTCCATCCCATACTAAGACAAATGAAGACATACGTCCATATGTAGTCCACGAGAAACATGCATATGACTGTACATGAACGAGTCAGTCTGTTTATAAAATTACTTTTGTGCTTAATTGAAAAAAAATGATGTTCACACGCACATACACATACAGCAGTGATGGTGGGGAACTATTAAAAAAGGGTTTTTGTCTTGCTATAATTCAACACTTATGTTTCTGTAAAAGTAGGCAATAACAGCAGTTTTAAAAATCAAACATTTGAAATCTAACACAATCCAATCCAAAGATATACTGTTATATGGGAGGCCCTTTAAAAAATAGCTGAAAAGTGCTCGCTTCGGCAGCACATAGACTAACATTGGAACGATACAGAGAAGAGTAGCATGGCCCCTGCGCAAGGATGACACGCAAATTCGTGAAGCGTTCCATATTTAAAAAAAAAAAAAAAGCTGAAAAGTAGATACAAGCTAAACGTCTTATCAACTGATGAATGGATAAACAAAATGTAGCATAACCATATAACAGAATATTATTCAGCCATAGAAAAGACTGCAGGACAGATAAAACCCTCAGGACCAATAATGAGAGTGGCGAAACCAGGAGGGTAGGGGGAAGTGGGGGGAGAAAGGGGCAACCGATCACAATGATCGACATATAACCACTACCCCCATGTGGACAAATAACAGAAAAGTGGATGAAGGGAGACAGCGGTCAGTGTAAGATCTTAAAAAATAATAACTTGTAAATTATCAAGGGTTCATGAGGGAGGGAGGGTAGGATTGGGTTGGAAGGGCAAAAAAAAAGAGGAGTGGATACCAAAGGTTCAAGAAGAAAGAAAATGTTTTTCAAATGATGATGGGGCTACATATGTTCAAAGGTGCTTGACACAATGGGTGTATGTATGCATGGATTATGTTAAGAGCTGTAAGAGCCCCCAATAAAATGATTTTTTTAATGAAGTATACTGATACATGTTACAACATGAACAAACTTTGACAACACTAGGCTAAGTGAAACTATTATGATAAGCAAACACAAAAGCCCATATGTGGTAAGATTCTATGTATATGAAATGCCCAGAGTAGTCAAACTCATAGAGACAGAAAGTAGAATGGTGGCTGCCTGAGGCTTGCAAAGGGAGTTTGTGGGTATGTGGGGAGTGACTGCTAATAGATACAGGGGTTTCTTTTGGGGGTAATGGAATGGATTGCTGTCTAACTTCCTGAATATACAAAAACCATTGTACGGCATGCTTTAAATAAGTCAGTTGTATAGTATGTAAATTACATCTCAGTAAAGCTATGCGAAAGGAAAAATTAGTAAGGGACTTCAGATGTTTTGACATGCCAGGATTGTAAAGAAGCATGACCAAATCCACAGGGTTTGGCCCGACATTAGGGAATAGGGCTGGGGTGGCTGGCCAGGATCCCCAAAGAATTCCAACCCTACAAAGATCTCTTCTTCCAGATCCCACCTAGATGTCCCTCTGTCCTCTGGGGGATGCCCCTCCCCCTCTGGGGGAGCAGTATCAGGAAACAGGGAAGGGGTGCGCACACGTGTGCCCAGGACACCTCAGTACACACTAATGGTGCCGCCTCCGTCGCCTTTATTCCTCAAGCCCAGACGCTGGGCCTGCTCCACACTGGTCACTCCTGAGAGTAGCTTTGTTGGGGACCGATCTCCAGGGCCATAACCACCCAAAGAAAACGCCAAAGATGAACTTTGCTCTGGTGGAAGAAGGGGACAGTTTCTGCCCGAGATGCCTCTCCAGCCAGGGCAGGTGAAGGAAGAGTGATCAAAGCGTTAAGTGATGACCCACCTAGAAGAACGGATGGAGGTCAAGAGCCTGGTATAAAAAAGACCACCCAGGAAAACTCTTTTCTGCTACAAATGTGGGCTTGCCTATGGGCACAAAGAGGGGTATCAAACTTTTCATCATGCCTAGGGGATGCGCCAGAGAACTAACTAGCTTAGGAGCAAGCCCGGACCTGGGCTAGAGGTTCAAAGTGCTGGGATTAACACGCAACCCTCCCTGATCTACAGGGGGCTGCTCCCAGCACGAGGCCCAGGACTGTGAATAGGAACCTCAGAGAGGAGCTCCCTTTCTATGCACCCATGGGCGACGAGCCCCTCACACTCATGCCTGGACGGCGCAGCATCGTTCCCACTGTCCTCCTCCTATCTTGCCTCTCCTGGCCTGGCAGTTCCTTACCAGCACCAAGACAATCCTTCTTCCTGACCGTTCTTTCAGTGAGCAGGGCCATTCCTAGAGCAGGACAGGCTCCAAGGGCACCACACGTCAAGTTACGCTTTCCCTCCATGCCCCGCCAGCCGTCAGAAAAGCAATGGATTTTCATTATTAAATATTTTGAACAAAGTATACATTAAGAAAGAGGCGCACAAAAGCCACCCTAAGGCCGCTAGGCTACCATTTTGATAGGTTTCCTAGAAATCCACCGGTTGCAGCTAGGCTACCATTTTGATAGGTCTCCTAGAAATCCACCGGTTGAATCCGTCCCACTCACAGTGAGCCCAGGTGTGCCGACCTGCAGCCGACAGCAAGGCTGCGCCCACGAACAGTGTCGTCATCGCCACTGAATGGGCATGTGGAAACTGTTGAATCGGGACCATCCGTTTTCATTTTTACGTACTGTATTATAAATGGTTTCTCATTTCACGTCATTTTTCTCCAACATACTTTGGAATGGGTGTAATTTATACAGCACTTCTCTGATAATTGAACATCCAGTCCTTTCTAATTCTTATCATTAATAGCCTTCCAGTGAACAAACTTGAGGGTAAATAGATGTAAACATAGTTACTGTGGGGGCTTCAAAAAGTTCATTCCAAAAATGCCCTTATTTTTTCATTCCATTTCCCACTAACTCTTTGAAGCCCCCCACCCCCATGTTATTTCCTTAAGATAAATTCCTCACGGTAGAAGCACTAGGCAAAAAGGCATATACCGTTGTTTTTTTGTTTTGTTTTGTTTTTAAGGCATATACCGTTTTAACGCTTTGAGATGTTCCTTGCCAAACTATCTCCCAGAAGAAGGACACCACGGCCACGCCAACCTTATGTTATCCTTTTAAAAATATGTATTTGCCGCTTCACCAGTAGGTACAAAATACGCTTGTGTGGGGTGAAAAGAAACAGACTGAAAGTTGCCTCAACAACAGCCTGGTGACAGAGGCGGCGGCAGAATGGGCTAAGACTGGACATGAGTTGAGAACTGCTGAAGCTGTAAGATCCATGGAGTGTATCAGCCTACTCCA